TTCACTCATATCCGCATGAATTTCTTCGGCTGGACCAATATGGGTACGTGACAAAACTCGCAAATATCTTCCGGTGGGTCGGTGAATCTGACCGGAGTTGTACTCCACCAGTTGGCCATGGAACACAATTAATTTAACTATATATTTGAGTGGCCTAGTGGTCTAGAGCGCTGTCCGTTACGGATCACTGCTATCTCACCTCTGTCTGCGTATGTTCGAGTCTAGGATTCGGCAAATGTGGATATTTGAGAAAGCTTGCCATTAGCTTCTCGTGTTTCGGTGGTTCTTTCCGGTGATTTCCCGGTTTCTTCCTCCACCATTAATACTGGCCGCCATGTGTGCTGAAAAATGGCGTTAAGCCTTCTCTACATTTGTTTCTCAGTACTACACTTTCCACTGTGTGACAATCAACACAAATCATATGTTAATCTAAAATACCTTCAAACATGACTTTATGGTGAATTTCTTGTCAAGGGTTGACCTGCATTATTTTGAGAGGATGAATTGTAAACAAAACACCATGCAATAGAACGCAGATTTCATTTTCGTGTCATCACCATGGCCTTATTACTCACTGTGCACTGTCGCCGAAATACACACAGAAAACCACACCCTAAGCTCACATTCTAAAGAATAAAAAAAATTGCCCATTAAATCCTTACCGAGAATGCCTAAATCTAACTCTTGTATTACCACCAAACGAAGACAGGAAAAAAAATGATCTAAAAATAGACTGGGACTACATTCCTGGGTACTGAACTAGAATTATTAATTGTGGCCTGATTCCAGTTATACTGGCGGTCATGCATAATCTATCGTATGCTGAAAATTTGCGTCAAATCCACATCCTCAACAACACATTTTATCTGTTGTGCATATGAACGTTTGTTTAGGATGGTTTGTCTTTTAGCCGTTACCGTTTATGCTCCGAACAAAATGCTGAACAAATACAAGAAGAATAAAATAAAGAAACAGAAACGGTTTTAAACTAAGATAATAATGGGGCCCCGAGTGGCCGAGTGGTCTAAAGCGCTAACCGTTACGGATCACTGCCATCTCACCTCTGTATGCGTCTAGACTCGGCTAACGTGGGTAAGTGAGAAAGCCAGTCAGTAGCTTCTCGTTGGTAGGTGGTTCTTCTCAAGGTTTTCCAGGGTTATTCCTCCACCATTAACACTGGCTTCCATCTTATGATGAAAAATTGGCGTAAAACCCTATAACAACAACAACAACAACCACAACAAACTCAGATAATGTTAAGGTTCGAGAACAATCGTACAAAGTACCCAAGTTTAGAATGTGTTCAATAATCAAAATTATATGCTAACCGAAGTGTTACTGTTGTTATTACATTCATCCCTAACTACTGCCTAAGCAATGTGTAATCTACTAAATAAAATCGTAGTACTTTACGTCACAATGCTCACCAACTACCCAGTCCGAGTCTGTCTGACAAATTAATTTGAAACTTAAGCTACAAATTTCCCGTTGCTGTGCCCTTCAAAGCTGAATAAAATAGAAATAGAATAAATGAATTTAATAATAATAATAATAATAATAATAATAATAATAATAATAATAATAATAATAATAATAATAATAATAATAATAATAATAATAATAATAATAATAATAATAATAATAATAATAATAATAATATAGTAACTTATGTCGTCTGAATGCATATAAATAGGACATTATGTGCTTGATCAATGTCATTAAGAACGTCTTATTAATGAACCTTGAAGATTTGAAAACCAGTTCCTCGTTATTTTCAAACCTAGAACTCACATTGAAAAAGGCAATAATAAGAGATCTTTATCAATTTATTAATTACATACAACATAAATTGTAATCTCTGGTTATGACCGATAATCCTATGTTATATAAACAGAAGCAATCGAGTATTGCAACGACTCAATGTTCTAAACTTTGCAACAGAAGGAAACAAAACCAACAGGTTTGGTAAAATCAACAGAAAAAAAACAAAGGAAAAATTGAGAGACATAAACAGTATTGTGAATTAAATCCAAAATATATAGGCAATTGAGTCCTCTCAAATTATATATATGCACGATGGCGGACTCTAATCATAGATTCTGAAAGAATGATATGAAGCAGGAATGAATAGCTGTTTACCAAATACTCTCTTTATACACATCCCCACTTAACTTACGTCGCAATAATGTTCTGGAAAGCTAACAATATCCACGGGAAACCTTACTAATCATTGATTTCAGATTCTAGCAAACATCTGGTTTACTACTTATAAGCATGACAAAAGTCAGGTATGCGAAAACTCTATCTACAACTTTCAGTCACGAGCGAAAGCTAAGAACACAATATGTAGTAAATGTACATAACACCGTTAATTAAAAATGTTCTTCCATTTATACAAATACCTCAGGGTGACCATGAAAGTTTGAAAACAAATCGATAAAATGTCTTCCAAACATCCACAAATTAAGATAAAATATCAGGTTTATTTGGTAAGGCAAAACCGAGAGGATAAAAATAGATACTTGTATAGATCCCTTAAAGAAAGGTGATTAAATATGATTCACTTGCACTCATTAATTTGTTATATAAAACTTTCCTGGGTTAAGCCGCTTACACTGAACAAAGATGGTTTGTGTCAAAAACTAGTTTCCAAACAAATATTTGGAAACTTTTAAGATATACTCTTATTAGCAAAACCTAAATTGAATAAAGTTATAGATATCTTTTGGCGGGATGCTATTTATGTTTATCTCAATGGAAAATTGAACCAAGGACTGTTCAGGAATACTTATCTGAAGATATTCTTAATTTAATAACTGTAGACAATTTTAAATCTTACACAGATTAGAAAGTAGGTTTTCTACTTATTAAACATCTTTTCTTTAATGCGCAAGAGTCTATTACGTTTTTATAAAATAAACCAAAGAACTCAAAAAGTAATAATTTTGTACAGTACTCTGCTCTTATCTCAAAGATATAAGAGAAGTGGAAAACAAAGGTTTTTTTTGAAAGTGGAAATACTTTCCATTACTCCACAAAATCTCTATTTTTAGTGTAAGAGTAAAGATTAAATTTATTTATAAAGATCTACCAAGATAAAAATAGTCAAATGGTTAAAAAATAAAGCAAAAAAAAACTTGTTCCAGGCGGCTAGGATGTGCAATTGGTTTAAGTGAAAGGTTCAACTCTTTTGTTTTGGCTAATATTTGCACAAAAGACACCAAACTGATTAGCTTTAATGTTAGATTTTTAAATAGAAATATTGCCACAAAACAATTTTTGAAATAGATTAATTTAAGGGATAATGATAAATGCGCCTTCTGAAAGGAGGGAACAAAACAAATTAGGTACTTATTCTATGTTCAGTTGCTGAGTATTATGGTAAATTATCTATGGAATGGATAAAAACAGACAACCCAAACGTTAAAATTACACAAAAAGATATCTTTATGTGAAATAAAAACGTTGATATCAGCTTTACAGTCTTGCTTGCGAAAAATGTCATATACAGACACGTTTGCTTCAAAAATTGCCAAACTCACTTATTATTAAAATTGTGTTTTGTCAACAAAAGGCTGGAAATTATGTCACAAAAGTGAATAACATGACTGATAGGTTTAAGAAAAAGTGGATCCTTTTGTCCTATTTTTGTACGATTTTTTAGTTTTTCTTTACTTTACATCAAATAAACAAACACGAAATGTAAAAGACAACTTGGGGTTTCTAAATATATGGTTCATTTGGTACAATATTTTATGTGTATGTGTCTAAATAAAGGAAAATAAATAAAGATCGTGGTTTTAATTATCTATATAAAATATAGCTTCATTACTGGATTAGAATAAATTTAATGAAACAACACACGAAGATAATTGTGAAATAAATTTATTTTTATGCTCGTTACAATTTCTACGACAGACACTCGCATACGTTGCATATGGAAACGACGTTTGTGTGTGTGTGTGCGTGTGTGTGTTCGTCCAGGTCATGTTTTATAATCCTAAAAGAGGGTTTGTTGTCTTGAGGAGACAAGATTGTGGATGTCAAAGAAGATTCGTTCATTCTGGTAGAAGAAGAACGAAAAATGTCCTACCTTTTCTGAAAGTCTTTTCATGAAAAATCAAAGGTCATTTTATTCTGGACATAATACATCATACAGGATGCACAATGTCACACACCAACACACACACACACACACACACACACACACACTCACACACGCGCGCGCAAGCACATGCACACACACGCACGCACAATAACATTCTCACAGACAACCACAGATACACACAGTTTGCCATCGATAAAGCATTCGATGAAAGAATTATTCTTAAAAAGATAAAAGGAAACAAAGACACTGAACCACAAGATAGTGTATTTTCTTTATATTTTAAATAATTTACAAAATTAAAAATGTATAAAATAAAATATCGCGAAAAAACATTTGCATTACTTATTCATTTTCATGGCTTTATTCCCTGTAAAAGAAAAAAATAACTGTATTACATAACAGTTTTCATTTTAAAACAATTTCTCATTATTATTATTATTATTATTATTATTATTATTATTATTATTATTATTATTATTATTATTATTATTATTATTATTATTATTATCCAGGTAAAAATGTATTTCACGATTACACTGTTCCTATTGATAGAATCGATGGAAGGAATATGTAGCTTTTCTAGACCACTGGTAAAAAAAAATAAAAACAAAAGAACCTGCAAACCTTAGTGCTGTGTGTGTATGTGTGTGCGTGTGTGTGTTTGTGTTATTTAGATTTTTAGCTCAGCTTACAAATTTTCAGTCATATATCTAAAATGTCTGCAGTGAGACAGTTTATATTGATGTCTAGCACTAGTGTATCATACCTCCGACATGTAGCATGATGTCCCACCCAATCACATTATCTTGACACCAGGCCAATTAGTCCTAACACTAACTTCTTATTGCCGAGCGTCAGGCGAGGCAGCTGTTAGTACCATTTTTAAAGTGTTTGTATGACTCGGCAGGAGTTCGAATCTGCGAACTCCCGCATCCGAGGCGGACGCTTTAACCACTAAGCCACCAGAGCGGTCTTACGTTTTATTACTGAACCAGAGTGAAGTGTTTGGTAACAATAAATTTGACACATCTGGGGTTCATCTATTATTTATTTTAACAAAAGAAGATTAATGATAAAAAACAATGTCTCAATAGATCATAATAGAACTTATATATATATATATATATATATATATATATATATATATATATATATATATATATATATATATATATATATATATATATATATATATATCGGCTTTGTAGATCACAACTAGTTCAAACTAAATGGACTAATGTTATATTTTACTAAAATATTTCAAAACAAAAAAAAAACATTTACTAGCTTTGAAAGACAAAAAAAAATGTTGAACAAAATTATAACTAATCAGTGTCACCATCACCGCAGCACAATATTTAAATGTATGTATTATTCAAGAGAGAGAGAGAGAGAGAGAGAGAGAGAGAGAGAGAGAGAGAGAGATGTCTTGAGAAAAGACAAAATAATTAACATGCATAAATTTGTTAATTCTTTCTTATTTGCATATATTTTACTTTTCTTCAATGTTTTTTCGACTGCAGCAGGAAAGCAGGATAACTTCTTAATTCCTTTGCCATTTTGTTTACAGTAAATTTGTGTTAAACTAATATAAATTCCTCGATATTTTATTTTTACCTTTATTACTTTCAGATTTGCATCAAAGGTGAGTATGTTGTTCTTTCAAAATTTTGAAAAGAAAATTATTTCTGTGGGGGTGGGAGTTGTTGCTTTTGTTTAATTTTCACCACCCGATCCCCCACCCAGTCCATATAGTAATTCGTGAATCGTGTAATTTGCTTTGCTACATAACCTACACATCAACTCTTTCGTATCTGACCGCGTTTCTTTCTCTTCTTAAATTAATTGCTTTTTAAGTTATATTTATTTTTGTTAGGATGTACCGTATTTCCAGGATACTGGTTGAAACATTTGCATACATCTTTTGGAAGTTCTAATAACTCACCAATGCTCTAAATAATTTTCCTCTAATCAAACCTTGACAAAAAAATATCAAAGCTTCACATCTGCATCAAAACTTCACAATTGTAGGCAACCTCGCAACTGCATGACATCTTCCAGTTATAATTCCAAAGAGTAACGTCAGCACTTAAATGCCATAAAATACAAATCTCAACTCAAACACCAAATACAGGAAGATATTTTTCTACTCTATTACAGGGTTAGTCGAACCACAATTTCGAGCCTCATTTTACATATAACTTGACACCATATTTATCATTAGACCACCAATAAAATGCGTCTCCAGATAATAGAAAAAACCATTCCATTGTATAAATATATATCCCTGTCACAAAATTTCACATGGAAATACACTACCAAATCAACACCTTTATATTTATATAAGAACTACTTGGCTACTTTTCCGGCTGAGACCTGAACTCAAGTATTAAACTAAATCACGCATTCATGAAATTTTATCAACACCGCTCTGTCACGTTTGCCCATACAGACTGGCTAATTACTCGGGTTGAGAATTGTTTTCAGAACCACCGACTTTCCATAATCAAACTAAGTTTTGCAAAAATCTAATATATCTATAAAATAGAGACGTAAATACAAATGGTACATACCCTAGATTCATTACATTTTCCGCTTTGTATTATTAAAAAAATAGACCCATATCATCTCTAACTCTACTTCAGTTTTATTTTTACACAAGGGTCAATGGTCATACGGGTATCCAGAAACTGTGTCGTAGAAATAGAGATCTAACTTACAATTTTTAAGCTGAGAAGTGGTTCTGTTTGCTTTTTTTTAAATAAAAATAATGTTAAAAAAGAATTGGCTTTGGTCTTCAAAGAAAACGATCAAAGGGACATTTTACTTTTAGAAGATGGTCCTAAAAATACCACATCCGTACAACTGAGTGGCAGACTACATCATCAAAAACTGTCAATATGTTCTACATGATAAATAAATCTTGAAACTTTAGGTGAAGCTTGAAGCTATCCCTTATCACAAAATGACAATTATTCAAACAGGTGAATGTAGTACATGTGCATATTTAAATTGAGAGCATAGATATCGAAGTTTCACTTGAAACTATGGTCTTGACACAGATCAGATTATTTCAATACTAATACTGAACCGCGGTTTATCAATTTAAAAACTAAACAAATGTGACTCTTGTTGGTGTCTATTATGATGTCTATGCACTGTGTTGGTGTCTATTCTGATGTGCGTGTCACGTGTGCAGTCTATTCTAATATCCATACCACACTGTATATACTAGCATTTGTTCTTACCTTATAATTTTTATTTACTCGTCATCATCTGCACAAATTCTGAAAGGAGTTAGTCATACAATTCATTATTTCTTAGATCCGTTTAATTGTAGGATATACATGGACAGTGAATATTACTATTATATTAATTGTATAAATATAAGTATTTTATCATTTTTATCCGCACATAAATGCAAAAATCAAGTTAATATAAATACCAAGATAAATAGATTATATGCTTTCTATGGAATATGACTAAGATGGTTTTAGACATCATATTTTAAAAAAGTATGTTGATTTGACTGAAGCATATAGAGCGCACGTAATTGAATAAATGGCATACCAGAGAAAATAAGGTACAAGCTACCACGTTGTCATTCTTTAAGAAGTGAGACTTTCAGATGTATTGTAATCTTTTTTTCAGTAAATAAATTTTCAGTAAATCCGAACGGGTAATACCATCGTAATTTACTTGGCCATCTCCGTCAATATCTGCTTCTCGAATCATCTCGTCGACCTCCTCGTCTGTGAGTTTTTCCCCGAGATTTGTCATCACGTGTCTGAGTTCTGCTGCACTGATAAAGCCATTTCCGTCTTTGTCGAACACTCGAAATGCCTCGCGCAATTCCTCTTCTGAGTCCTGATCCTTCATCTTTTTCGCCATCATCGTGAGGAATTCAGGAAAATCAATCGTTCCATTACCTGAAAAAAGCATGACTAGTTGACGGTTTGGAACATGTTTTGATACAAGTTGGTTGTGCAGATGCCTATGTATTTACTAAAGAACTTCATTGGATGAATTTTGGTTATTGTTCCCTTCTTCACGGGCCCATACTTGATTTTCAAAACAAGAAATGATACTTTTAATGTCCCCTTTTGCTAATAAATGGAATTACATTACATCAATGACCTTAGCAGCACAGAATTTAAAAGAAATATTTTTATTAAGATCTAAGAGATCTAAATATCACGTAACGAATGATAGTATCATCGGATCTTGTCCAAACTAAAAAAAGCAGTCTTGTCATCAGGTAATCAAGCGATTTTGCGGAAACGAATTTTGCTGCTCAATATATGTTGACGTTGCCAAAGCCAGAAAGTCTCGCACAACAAACGCAGTGCATATAAATAGCTGAAACTGGTATTTGATACCATTTTTTTAATATAAATAACACGTACAGAAAATAAAAATTTTACAAGACATGCAGCATTGGATCTGTGTATCTTTAATATGTTCTTGTAAGATTAAATGGTTTGATTTTTATTTATTCAATAAACAATAGGAATGTGACAACATTAAAAAAAACAGGTACAGAAAATAGAAAAAAAGAGACTATATAGGAGCCATTTTTACCATCGGCATCCACTTCGTTAATCATATCCTGTAGCTCAGCCTCGGTTGGGTTCTGTCCCAGGGACCTCATCACTGTCCCCAGTTCCTTTGTGGTGATGGTTCCATCCCCGTCTTTGTCAAACAGGCTGAATGCCTCCTTGAATTCTGAAATTTGCAATTAGGGCATATACCGTTTAGCATTATCGACCGATTTCCGGGTTTTGGGCATGAAATTTCTCCGATTCCGTATACAATTCGATTAATCGGAAATGCCTACTACCAGGAGTTATTTGCCTCTAGCACAGCCGACCAAAATCTCGCCTCTGCATCCCTGCCATCGGAATTCATGTGCCAGCGCGAATTGGATTCGTATCAAGCTAAGAAAAATTTTATATATATATATATATATATATATATATATATATATATATATATATATATATATATATATATATATATATATATATATATATATATATATATATATATATATATATATATATATAGTAAAAATCCCGAGGAAAAAAAAAACATTCCAGCTTTCTGACAGCTGTCGCTACGGCCCTCTAGCGTTGATAGTAAAAGAAGTTTTAGCACCGCAGGTGCTATTTCAGCGACAAACGATCGACATGTCCTCTGAAAAAATGGAGATGCTACTATTTCTCGCAAAGAACTTAGAAGCTATAATTTTGTATAATTAAATTTCTTTATTATCTATTAAACTGCATGCGTCATGCCCAAGCACATTAAAATATTTTAATACATTTAAATCATTCAGTCTAACTCAAGTATTATTTTTTCACCCCGTTGTATTGACTTCTTATTTAACTTTTTCTAGGCACTATCGAATATCACGCAGTGTTAGACAACGTGCTATAGAAATTCAACTTTATTATTTTTTTTATCCGAATCGGTCGTTCCTGGTTTGTCCAACTCCTATTAATCGGAATTTCATACTATCCTGTGGAATCCTGATTACCGGATAAAAAGTCAGTTACGCCCTATTTATAAAAGCATTTGATGCTACAAGACTAATTCGGTATGTCATTGAAGATGAATAGTATATATGACACAATTGGGAAACTTAATTTGTTAGACATTTCACATGTACTGCAAAGAATTATCGCACATTCATTCACTAGATAAGGGATATGGTTTTTTAATTGCCATCAAAATACGACTTCTACGAAAGCAATCATAATTTATAAGGCTGTTGAAAACAGGCAAATACGCATGCGCGACCTTGTAAAGTCCGAGGGGAAAACTGAATAAAAGTCAATGATTGTATCTTCTTGCTTTTTGTATTTGTAACATTGTTCAAAAGATGAGTACATTTCCACATAACAATTTATGGCGTTGTATATAACAGTCAGTGTCTCTCTCTCTCTCTCTCTCTCTCTCTCTCTCTC